CCATCAAAGCTGGACTGGATTTTAAAAATGTGGTACATATACACAATGGAATATCATGCAACCATAAAGAAGGACAAACTTATGGACTTCGCAGCAACTTGGATGGATTTAGAGTCAATCATACTCAGTGATCTATCACAGAAACAAAGCACAGAGTATATGTTTTCACTCATAAGTGGACCTTGAAGAATTATCATAATACAATAAGAAAGGGATTGGCTGTAGTGGGAAACTATGAGGGGAGGGAGTGTGCTATTGGCAGTTGAGGGAAACTGCTGGAGGGGGGGCACACCTCATCAACAAGGGTACCTGCATAATGGACTTTTGTATACCTAACCCTGAATTTTACCCCACATCTTTAAAATAAAAAATAAAATAAATATAAACCCCCAAACCTTTAATGAAACTGGAAAAGATGGAATAAGGCTTAGTAAAATGACTGACAGATTAACTATTGTTTCAAAGAAAATAAAGATCAAGCATATTTTGCCCACAAAGAAGACAGTTAAAATAAGGCTTGACAAAAATCTGTGAAATCATGAAAGTTTTAGTAAGATGGACATGACATTCTTCAGAACATTTCCGAATATTGAAGTGTATGTACTTCCCTTAAAGCTTGAGTAACTTAATGTTTTCAACGATATTTTGCCATGTTGACAAGAATGTTTGACCTTTCTCCTTTGCCATGAAAAACATTCCAAGTGCCATCCACAGACACAAGCCGGTCTTTTGTTACACACTTAAGCAATGACTCTATGCAAGAAAACTCAGGAAACTTTCCAAATGTTCAAACATAAAGAAAAAAAATCTATCAGTTTAAAATGATAATTTGAAAGATTATGAAAAGTAGGTTTCCAACACCTTCAAATTTGTCCTACTTTACTCAGGATTCTTTTTGCTTCTAAAAATCTCTACTTTGAATGAACTCTGCAAGCTGTGTAAATTCAAAATATAATTTCTGGCAAAACATCCACTATACCAGGACTCTAATACAGTATCTAACAAGCAGAATTATTAATGGAATTTTCATCAGAATGAGTATTGAGCTTAAGCTTATGCCTGGACAGGCTGGAAGGGTGGTTAAAACTCATTAGACACTTTCCTTAACATGGAGGGACATGCGGTTGTACATACCATTCTGTTTTGAAATACACAAAAAACATTCCCTATGATCCAGACCTGAAATATTTCCAAGACTGGTAATATTCATGTACAAAAATATTTGCATAGTCTTAAAAGTGTAAGTTCTGATGAGGTTGGATGTGGTGGATATGGTTGGGATTTGTTTTTCTGTTTGTTTGTTTTAGTTTTCTTGCATCCATGAGAGAAAATCTGACTGAAAAGCTCCAAGTAATTCCATGGCATAGAAAAAAGCTGCAGTGAAGTCCTGTTATGAACATATTGATTTTTTAAATGAAAGACCAAAGAAATAAATGAATGGAATGAAAGAGAAAAACCAGTACAGTTAGATTTAGGAATTATAACCTAAATGTGTGTGGAAAGAGACATATATTTTTTAAGTTATCAAAACTTTTTTTAGTAACTACACTACTCTATGTTTATAGTTTGTTAATTTAAAAGCTACCTATAAAGTACGACTTTTAAAAGTCCATATAGGTTTACATGATTGTTTTTTAAATATCATTTAAGGAATAATTTACTTAATTTTGATATTCAAAATACCTTAATTACATTGCACTATAGACACAAGCTCTAATTATGCTTCTGAACAACATTTACTTCTCACGATCAAGCATATTTTAAGAATGTTCTTCATGAAACAAAAGAGAAAATTTTAACTAGCAAGATATTTTTTAGTATTTTCCTTCTTTCTTTCCAAATATTTTCAATTTGGATATGCCACTCTTCAAACATGGCAAATATGATGTTGTAGCCAAGAGACTTGGGTTTCTTTCCATAGATGACAAGAACGAGGTGAGGTAACACTGTCTTACATAAAAATACTTTTGCAAGGGAAAGAATCTTACTCAAATAAGCTCAAGAAAATGCAGTGTATTAAGTAGAATAAACACACTGGGAAGTGAAGTTAAACCTCAAGGAACACTGGGAGGAACAGAAACCAGGCAGCAGTAGTGACCTCAGCAGCAGATATTCATGGGCTCTTCATAGTCTACCATAAACAGTGAGAAACAGTGAGTGTAATTGGTTTGGTCCAGCCAACGTATGACTGGCTCCTTCCAGCTAGGCTGTACTCATCATTAAATTAGAGTGGTGAGGGATGTTGAGTTGAGGCAGGATTTGGGAGGAAAGCATGTTTTTTCAGAAGGTGTGTCGAAGGGAAAAAATAATTGGTATATATAGTGCAATCACTAAAATAATTAAAACTTGGATAATGCAAAGATAAAAGTTATCACTTGCTTCAAATATAGATCTGAAATTTCTGTGCCAACGTTTGAATTAATCTCTGCAAAAGATCAAAGCCTGACACTCCTTTTTTAAAAAAGGAATTTCATGAATATAATTCAGAAGTCTCTACCCAATTTACTTTGGCTCTAAATTAGGTTAAACATCATTATGATCTGAAAACACTTGCTGTTACTAATGCATATGAGCAGTAACTGGTGGTAGTGATTATTTCTTTAAACTTACCTTATAAATCATTACATATACTTTTTAGCATTAACAATCTTAAAACTATGTCAAGCAACCCAAACTAATAAATATATAAATAAAATAGCAAAACTAGGCCAACAAGATCTATTAAAAGCTTTATTTTTCATTAGTATTAGTAAACACATATTGAAAAATCTTCATGACACAAAAGTCTGAAACTGTAACTCTAACAAATGTTCTAAACTTAGATATTACTAAAATTTTAATATAAGTATAACGAGAAAGAAATAATCAGCATACACAATGGAGCATTAGCATCTCAGCTTCTAATATCTGAGTCACAGAGGGAGCCCCTGCTTTTTTTCCCCCAAGTATCATTTCCTAGAAGGTTACAACATGGTTTCCTTTCATGAATAAACCTTTTTCCCCAGTAGCAAGGATTAGACTAAATCATCTGTAGTCTTCTTCCATCTCACCTCTCTAAGCCTGTCCTTTAGTTGAGCTTCAATGACCTACAAAGATGTTGCTTCCTGAATGAATTTATCTAATAGCTCTCCCTGGCCTTCAGGGTAAAGTCGAAGTGCTTTTGCAACCACAGAAAGCAAATTTCTGTAGATTTATTTTCTTTCATTCTCAGCCTTACAGTTGGCACTTAATAACGAGAAAATACTTGCCACTTCTGTCCACCTTCTGCTTTTAGGCCTTTATCCATGCTTCTCTCTGTAACTGGAATATTCTTCCCCTACCACTTTCTTTACCAATTAAATTTCTACTCTCCCATAATGATTAAGCTTTTGTGAACATTTCTTGAACCTACCAAATTGAGCTAAAATTCCTCCCCTTGTGATGCCAAAGTATCTTGTGCAAGGCTCAATCACAGCATTTATAATACTATATTGAAATTATCAGTTAGTCTATGTCCTACTAAACTGTAAGTTGGTTGCAGGCTGTACCACCAGTACATACTAGGGACTTGATATGCTAGATTTGTTAAATAGAATGGAACTTCTGATATAATTACCCATTAATACTGTTTCAACAAAATACTTAAGCCATTTCATAAGGAATTTGAAATCTCACTGACATCAAGAAGCTTATAAACTAATTGTTTTAAAAATATTCAACTGCTTGAGTAAAGTGAATTTAAGCTCTTAATTTTTCTTATTAGCTAGCCTTAAAAAAAAAGTTTGTTTGTAAATGTAGCCCAAAAGCATTTTCTTGGCATGCTGGCTCACTGCCTGGATCCATCTCAGCACTTTGCCTAAAGCAAGATAGTGATTGCTCAAGCAATCAACACACTGATGGGTCTCAAGGCATGGTTGAAATGGTGCTTTTTCACATCAGAGTTTTGTAACCATGACGGTCGAAAATAATATAGTTTGGTTCAATTACCCAAAACAAGTAGCACATTTCTATTTTTTTATATCCCAAAGTCCTCATTATCATTATTATTGTTTTTAGAGTCAGGGTCTTACTCTGTTGCCCATGCTAGAGTGCAGTGGCTTGATCACAGCTCATCGCAGCATCCAACACCTGTGCTCAGGTGATCCTTCAACTTCAGTCTCCCAAGTAGCTGAGACTACAGGTGTATGCCATTGTGTCTGGCTAATTTTTAAATTTCTTTTGTAGAGACAAAGTCTCACTATATTTCCCAGCTAGCCTGGAACTCCTGGGCTCAAGCAATTCTCTCACCTCAGCCTCCCAAAGTATTGGGATTACAGGTGTGAACCACTGCACCAGGCTCTCATTATTGTATATTTTTAAGCATAGTGAGACTATAAATAGAACCTTCATAAATGTTATACAAATAGCAAAAGAGAGATCTGCACAGGCAAATAAAATGGATGGATAACTCCATACGTTGGTTATTCAGAAATGACTATGTGAGTTGCATTACCTGTATTTCTCAGGTAACACTGATTTGGAATTCAACACACCTGAACTGTCCAAATAACTGTCCAATTCTTCCATTTTACCATATTAATATAAGAATAGCCTAAGAATTTTTTTTAAACAAAGCAAATTGAGATGAAGCCTAAGTAACAAGGCAAAATTCTATTTTTTTATTAATGACAGAATTAGAATTATTTATAATCTGTGATTTTTTTTTATTCTTCAAAAACAGCATGATCTCAAATCACTTTAGGGAGGCTTTTGAAAAGATAATTATTTTCTGATAAATCCAGTTTTTCAGAGCATTTTAATTATTAAAGAGGGGGAGTATCTCCTAATAAAATATAGGAAAGCATTACAAAATGTATCCTCTGCATTGTCCCCCCTTTTCTCCTTCATGAGTACATACTCATTCACACTCTCTCTCTACCTATTTACAGAATCCACTGATAAAAAAATTCCTTACTTAGTATTATGTGTGTCGATGGTATGAAAAAGCTCATGTAATTCTTCTCCACTGAGAACACCATCTGCAAAATATGCTTTGAATTCTTCAAAGGATAATTTTCCATCATCTGAAATGGTAAAAACAAATAGAAGAGAAGGAAATTATTTCAATTTTGTACAGCATTCTATCTTTTGATTTTTAAAAAACTTTATCTAAATTGTGCATATACATTTATGCACACACACACATGTATTCAAAAAAAAGTTGCAGGTGTCAAAAATAAAAATATTTTAATATATCTTTATAATATATAGAAAGCAGATGTGTACCCTCCAGTGACATATAAGTCTATACAGTTTAGGGTATTTTTGTGTTCATTTATTCACATGACAAACATTTAACAACTAAGCCATTTGCCTACCCATACAAAAAAAGATAGCCTCACAACCAAGTAAAGAACTCAATACGGAGTCAGTTATTTAGACATTTTGCCTTCATGGTACTGAACACATACATTACCTAGCAGATTGCAGGATAAGTACTATGTATTTAATCAATATACATTTAATCAATATACATTGATTGAATACTTACATGAGGACATCAGAGTTCTTATTATAATCCAATAAATTATATTCATTCCTATACCCTTTAAATGAATGAGTACTTTTAAAGTCAAACAAATTTTATTTATCATGGGACACAAAAGCGAAACCTAATCAGAGATATGATGATAACACTAAAAGAAAAAGAAAAGAAAAGGTTATTTTCATTTGGTTCATTGGGAGGCATGAGGGATTTTAGTATCACTTGCACCTGACATTGAACACCAGGTAAAATCCGGGTCTGCATAGATACAAGAAACACATTAATAAGATGCAAAAGATTTGTACAAAACACATAAGCAGAAAATCCAGAGAAATGAAAGGACATGAAGGAAGAGTGAAACATCCTTCTCTTTGTGCAGGGAGCTAGTCTGTTATTTTAGATAACCTGCCAAATGACTAGAAGTGAGCTAATGATCTTCTCCATCTACAATGAGGAAACTGAGGTCTAAGGAGGGTGGAATTTGCCCAGGATCACAAAACTCCTGTAATGTGGTCCTACTGACAACAACACCATACTGAACAAAGAAGAATTTGTCTTAGAATTGAAAAAGATATGATCTAATAAAATTAGATCTTCGAGATGTATTTAGTGTTGTTTTTTTCTTTCTCAAAATATGGCCCACAAACTGCCTGGAGTCCTATTGAAGTACAGATTCCTGGGTTCTACCAGGGAATCAGAATCTCACAGAGGGGTAGGCACATAAGAAATCTTAATTTTTAACAACTTGTGTTAAAATTATATTAATTATACCAAATATATAATCATATTTATATATACTAAATATATAATTATACTAATGCCTGAGTTGTATTGCTACAAAACAGGCCTAATCACTGAGTTACTTATCTTTTCAGATAAAGACTTCTAGGCTAGCACATTTTCAAAAATCTTCATTTGCAAAATATAAATATAAAGACTTATGAGAGGTTTTAAATGTATTTTATTTTGCTTTTTAACTTAATAGGCACAATAAACTCATCTTCCACTTAATTCTCGCCAACAGTTAACTGGGCAGACATAGCCATAGAGGGAGAGTAAATCCAGATCTAGATCAAGCACAGAATGAGATCTTGACCTCCAGTGACCTCCTGAACCAGCCTAGCTCAGTCGTTCAAACACCATAGCAACCCATCACAAACTGAAGTTTAATCCACCAGGCTCATCAATTGTCTAACTTTGTGTTTCTGTTTTTGAATGAGTTATTTTAGTTCCATGCCTCATATGACTTTTTAAAGCTTTGGCCCCATGTAACCTGATGGATATCCTAGATGAGACTTAGTATGGTATCTCTAATGTGCATCTCATTGCTTTGATGAAAAATATATTGCCAGGTTGGGAAACTGGACACAAAACAGATCTAGGTCAAAGAAAGAAAAGGGAAAGACTTTTTATTCTGCTACTTTTAAAAGGAATGAAAGAAAAAGGAAAAGTAGAAATCAACCAACTATTTCCACCTCCACCACTGTGATATGTAATGAATACAACACATACATATTGATGATGGAGTGTGTTTTTCTTGGTGAACATTTAGTGGTTCTTGGCTGAACTGAACCAGGCTATTTACAGAACTCTTGTTGCCTGTGTACCCTGTGGGTAGGGTGGGTTTCTTTATAATTACAGTAAGCAAATGATTTCAAATAATAAATGTATACTATCAAATAAAAGCATGGATTAACAAGTGCTCTGATGATGTTATAGGGCTAAAAGCCTTTAAAAAACCCCAAACTCTTATTTAAAAAAAAAATCAAAAGAAAAAGAAAGTATTGAATTACAGTCTTGGCTTGAAGGATGAAAAGTATATTTTGAAAGCTGTTTTGAGCACATGCAAGATTCCTGAAAGTCTCCACTTCAGGCAGCCATGCTTTCAAACAAGCAGTTGTAAAGAGTTACTTTTTCAGTAGTTCTAGACTAAAACCTTAATGTTAACCACAAGCGTTACACTTTTTAAAGGAAAGAGAGAGAGAAAAAATCCTTCATAGTGATTCTGTATTAATAAGCAATTATAAATTTTTATTTAAAATATTTTATTTCAACTTCACCTCTCCTACTGATATTTCTTTAAAAAGGAAACAATATAGTTAAGCCTGATATATACCGGCTTGGCTCACAGGATAGCTAAATCTTGTGAGGTCTGATTTCCTATGGTATTATGTCTTAGCTTTTACTACCAAAGGACATAGGTTTTTAAGCTTTTTAAATTAGAATTACATACTTTGAGTTTGTCCTGAAAATAGTTGGCTCCTCTCTGCTTTATTGTAAAATTATCCTGGCCTTACACTTTGAAATTTTTTTAAGATGGAGACAGTAGAGTGCAATTGTTTAAAGCATAGTCTTAGAACAAAGAAAATCTTGGGTTTGAAACATGGATTTGCCATTTGCTAGTAGAGCACTTTCATCCATTTTTTTCATCAAATAGTTATCAAGACCCTACTATGTGCTAAACACTGTTTCATGCTAAGAATACAGGTAGACAAGCCCTATGGATCTTATAATTATGATGGAGGATACAGCAAATGGACAGCCATGTACATTATAAGGGCAATGCTAGGAGACATGGGGTGATGTGGGAGCATTTAGAAAAACAAACCAAACCAAAAAACTAGTCCACATGTGGGATAGGGAGGAGTTTCCAGAAGAAATGGCACTTTTGATAAGAAATAAATGAAAAATAGAGGTTAGTGAAGGAAGATCTTTAAAGATAGAGAGTTGTTAGGCAGAGGAAATGCAAATAACAAAGGTAGGGGGCAAGAAAGGAATTGGATTGAAAACTGAAAGGAAAAATCCATATACTCAGTTAAAGTATATATATTTGGAGGGAAGGAGAAGCTAGAGCACTGGATACAGAAAGGACATGTCATGAGAAACCATGCACGTCATGTTGCAGAGTTTTTAGTTTACTCCAAGAGCACGCAGGAGCCATGGTTGTATTTCAGAAAGCTTACAGTGGTTGCAGTAAGCAGAAAGGAGCAGAGAGGTATGCCACAAGAAGAGAAGACCTGTTAAGAACTCCTGGCAAAAATCAAAAGTGGCGGAAATTTTGGTGAGGACAGTGAAAATACGGATAAGGGGACAGATTTTTAATCTGAAACAGAATCAACAAAAACTGGTGATCAGTTAGAGGTGATGGAATAATAAGTCAAGGATGAGACTTGCTTCTAGAATTGAGCAACAGATGGATGGTGTTATCATTCATTGTCAGAGAGAACACTGGACAAAACCATGGGGTGGACTAAAGAGAGTTCATCTGGATATGTGGAAATTAGAGATATCTGTGGAATAAGTAGAGACATCTAGTGCACAGTAGAATCACAGGGCTCTGGAAAAGTCTAGAAGGGTTGAGAGCTTGAGATATATGTTTGGGAGTCACTGGCACAGAGTAATTGAAGACTTAGAAATGAGTTATCCCAGGGAGAATACCTACAGTGAGAAAGAAAGAGACCTAGAATGGACTTTGGAAATGCCAACTAAGTTCTTTAAGTTTCAGAATTTTAAAATGCTTAGCTTTTGCAAGGATTGAGAGGTTATATGGAAAGCACTCAGCATAGTACCTAGCTCATAGTAAGAGTTCAATAATGTTAGCTACAGATTTACTAACTCTGTGTGAAGATCTTTCATTTGTTTTTAATTCTCATTTTTCACTCTACCTTGAAAAACATCTGAGTACTTACAGAAAATGGGTATTTAACATGTTTATTTAATAATAGAAAAGTTAATTTTTTTTGAGAAAGCAGGATTTATTAAGAGGACAGAGAAGCTCCCACAGTGGGGGGGACCCAAAGCGGTTACCCATCTGGGGCCAAAAAACCTGGTGCTTATATAACCCTAAGTCCAAGTCGATTGGCTAGCACTAGCTGTGAACTGTTCCTGTTCTGATTGGTTAGTATTAAGGACCAATCGGTTTTCAATCAGGTATTGTACATTCTAAAACTGGTGTTTTTTTTTAAGGCTCTTTAAACACTAATTTAATGTCTCCTTCAAGTTGCAAGCACAAGCATGCCAGTAACTAGAGCTCTGATCTGAGTACTGCCCCTCTGTCATGGCAATTTTAATTAGTTTTTGTGAACATTTAAGAGATTATGTCGGCCGGGCTCAGTGGCTCAGCCTGTAATCCCAGGGCTTTGGGCGGCCAAGGTGAGTGGATTGCCTGAGCCCGTGGGTTCGAGACCCGCCTGGGCAAGTTGGCGGGGCCTCATCTCTACAATAAATTTTAAAAATTAGCCAGGCATGGTAGTGCACGCCTGTAGTTCCAGCTACTTGAAAGGCTGAGGCAGAAGAATCCCTGGAGCCCAGCAGGTCGAGGCTGCAGTGGCCGGCAGTGGCCACTGCACTCCAGTCTGGGTGACAGAGTGAGACTCCAACTCAAAAAAAAGAGAGAGAGATTATGTTTTTAAAACATTGTATTTTTGTTTATATTAGTCTAACATTTTAACATTTTAAATATTGTAGATTATGAAGATCAAAATACCAAAACATAATCATATTAAATAATAGTAACAGAATCCCTGGAGCAAAATGAAC